CAGCTCTGTGTTGCATTTAAATCTAACCTCTCTTCTTAAAAATAACTGTTGAATCACTATCCCTCTGCCTTCCCCGGGTCACGCCCTCTGTCTCTGTGGATTTCTCTTGGGAGATGTTGAGAAGGGAGGGAATTTGACTCTAACTTTGATTGACCTTCCTGTTGGTTTAAACAACAGAAAAATATCCAATTATCCCATTGACAATTACAGCCTGCACAGTCTACCGCAGGCCCAGAAATCAGCCCGGCAGCAGAGAACCAGCCACAGACCAGGGGCACACACATGCAAGCCATTATCTACTTGGAGACAGGCTGGCCGTGCGACGGTCCCCGCTGGCTCAGGAAGCTGGAGGGCTCCTGGCCAGCAGGCCAGCGGTGATCCAGGAGGCTCCCGGCCACTAGCTGCAGTTGCACTCCCCCATCCCAGCTCATCTCATAAGGTGAGGGGTCCCGAATGAAAGAACTAAGGTGTACACTTGCTACAGATCCAGGCCTCATCAGGTCAAGAGATAAGTCAGTGAGTTCCATAGTAAGGGACTGTGCCCTATTTGGTTAACAATATAAGCAACGCACAAGGCATGTGATCTGCACTGAATACATTACTTGTATTTATAGGAAAAATTTAGTTGAAGGCTAATGAATACACAAGTAGCTGAATAAAGGGGTGAATAATTTGCCTGTGTCATGCTCCCAGGAATACTGTGGGAAAGACAGACTGGATCGAGGATGGGCCAGTGCTCAGGCTCAAGCTCCCTCTGGGAGCTTGTATCAAGTTCTGCTCCTTCCCAGCTCCGTCCTCGGCAAGTCACTTCACCGCTCCCAGCCTCAGTTTCCTCATGGGGTGAATGTTGCATGTGCCGCTCCGATTCCTCTAAAAAGGAAGGACTTGTTGCTTCTGGCTGCTGGGAGTATCATTAGCAAACAGCCTCCATCTAGACACATAGCAGCCACAGTCTCCTGCTCTCCAGAAAGCTGATCACCTGCCCTCTTCGCTGCCACTCGTAAATCCTTGACTCTCCAGGAAGGTATTTGGACCTGAGCTGCCAAGCTTTCCACTACTGAAGGATGGAGGGTGGGATGGTTTCTGTTGCCGAGATGGCTGGTGAAGTGTGGGTTGTGCACTGCCAACCACCCTGCACTCTAGAGAGACCTTCCTTCTTGAACCCCAGTATTTACTCAAACTTTTAAAGTAGCGATCACTGCCACCCTGTTATAGAAGATGAAACTGGTGCTTACATGGCTTTAGGGCCAGCCAAGGGCACACAGCTGGTAGGAAGCAAAGCTGGGAGTCGAGCCCAAGTCCAATTCCAAAGCCTATATGCTGTCTCCACTTAGGCCCACATTAAAGTTTCCAAGAGCAGGGTTTTGTACTTTGGCTTCCTTATTTTATTGCTTTTAAATATGAAAGTTTCCCAGGAGATTCAGATTCAGTCAGAGTTACAAAGCCTATCACACCCCTTCCTAACACCCATGTCAGTTCAGCATAGGATCCCAAGCTCTGGCCAGGGACACTGTTGCTACTCGCCCTCTACTCTCACCCAGGAACCTGCACCTAGAAAAGCCCTTTTGTGCTATCTACACTAATAAAAGAATAAGATGCAACATTCACCCCATGAGGAAACTGAGGCTGGGAGCGGTGAAGTGACTTGCCGAGGAGGGAGCTGGGAAGGAGCAGAACTTGATACAAGCTCCCAGAGGGAGCTTGAGCCTGAGCACTGGCCCATCCTCGATCCAGTCTGTCTTTCCCACAGTATTCCTGGGAGCATGACACAGGCAAATTATTCACCCCTTTATTCATACTTTCATGACACCCACCAGCCAATCAAGAGTGAGTATTCAAATTAACTCAACCAAGATGGCAAATTAATTTGAATACACAGGCGCAGAGCAGTTGGGGGGCAGGGCAGGATGCTTGCATTCCACAGTGCCCCAGCCGCTCCAGGCCTCTGGCCAGCGTGGGAAGGCAGAAAGGCAGTCACCAGCAGCCAGGGGAAGGAAGGTCCATTCTTGCACATATCTTCATGCATTGGGCCTCTAGTTTACTTAGAAGGGTCTCAAAAACAAAAAGCCTGACCCCTGTTGAAACCAGTTTGGCTCAGTGGATGGAGCGTTAGTCTGCGGACTGAAGGGTTCTAGGTTTGATTCCAGTCAAGGGCATGTACATTTGTTGCAGGCACATTCCCGGAAGGGGGTGTGCAGGAGGCAGCTGGTCAATGTTTTTCTCTCATCGATGTTTCTAGTTCTCTATCCATCTCCCTTCCACTATGTATAAAATCAATAAAATATATATTTTTTTAAAAAAACAAAAAGCCTGACCCATATGATTCACCCAGGCTGCTGGATAGTCCCACACAACTTCGCAGCCTTTGTTTGTTTTGTATATTGAGGTGAACATTGGCACCACAGAGTGAAATTGAGTTTCAGTGGAACACAACAGAAAGAAGCCAATTATCTAACATGAATTATTTATCTGGGCACAATAATCATGGTGTTGTTCCCCATGACAGAGGCCTCCGCAACTTGAAACAAGAGGAAAGAAGAGGTGGATGCATTGTCTGCCCCCAATGCAGCCTCAAATTCAATGAATTAGCCCTCCCACATCCTGTAAATACACATGAATCTTCTCTGTGAGCGTGGCCTATGCATCTGCCCCCAGAGTACACATGATTGATACGTTGGTGGGCACAGGGATTTTGTTCCCCAGTGTTCTGGGAAAGCCTGCCAATTTCAGGCTATGGCTATATTAGAGGAAATACCATCTTCTCTTTGCAGCCCACCCTGTGAGGATGAAGACATTCTAAAAAAGCATTTTCTCAGGTTGCAAAGCTTGTGGCCAGCCAGAACCCATGAAGTCATCTTAGCTCAGAGTTTTCCTGTCAAGGTATCTGCTATATAATGTCAACTAGAAGCCCTATCCTGCCTCCAAAAGTATGCAGTATCCCCCTTTATCTACGGGGATACATTCCAAGGCCTCAGTGGGTGCCTGAAACCGTGAATAATAGCACCAAACCCTAGGCATACTGTTGTTTTTTTACTCCATGCATACATAGCTATGGTAAAGTTTAATTTATAATTTAGGCACAGTAAGAGATTAACAACAATAACTACTAATAAAATAGAACAATATCCTGTAGTAAAAGTTATGTGAATGTGGTTTATCTTGTTGCCTTGACCTCACCCTTCCCTTGGTGATGTGAGATGATAAAATGCCTATGTGATGAGATGAAATGAGGTGAAGGAATGATGGAGGCATTGCCATGGCCTTAGGCTAAGAGTAACCTTCTGATGATACATAATAAGCACTACATGGCTTCTCTTTGGCAGGCGGAAATTGCCAGCATCACGACTCTTTTGCTTTAAAATAACTTTTAAGGTGACTATTAAAATAAGTTGCTGGAACACAAGCACCACAGGAGGCAATCTGATAACTGAGACAGCTTCTTAGTGACTAATAGGCAGGTAGCGTCTCCGGCCAGGACAAAGGGATGACTCATGTCCCAGGCGAGACCAAGGAAGACAGCACAAGATTTAATCGTGATCCTCGGAACATCACACAATTTAAAACTTATGAATTGTTTATTTCTGAAACTTTCCATTTAATATTTTCAGATCTCGGAAGACCACGGGTAAATGAAATCTAATTTCTAAATCATTTTTGTGTGATTTAATTTCCTTTTATCCTTATAACTTCTGGGGAGGTTGGAAGTGGGGAAAAGATATCAGTGGTTCCCAGAAGCTTGGAAGGGCGCCAGGAGCTGATCCACCTTGGCCCCCGTGCCCTACTCCGGGGAGCTATTCCTCTTCTGAGGAAGTTGACATTGATGGAGCTGCTCCCATGTCAGGCAGGTGCTTTATGCAAATTATCCTAAATGCTCATAACAACCTGATGATGTAAGCATAAATATCTCCCTTTCGTAGATGAAGAAATGGAAGCCCAAGGTTACAGCTAGTAAGTAACAGAACCAAGAATCAAGTTGAGACTCTCCTAACTCCTAACCACTGTCCTAACTGCCCTGTGAGGACAGCTTCCTCACCCCCGCACAAGCTCTGATCTGACCATCCCGGACCCATGAGGCTCTGTGGAGGTGTTCCAAAGTACTACTGTCAGAGCTGCTACCGCCCATCTGGATCCATAAGTATGGCCCTCCCTCCGGGTTGGCACAGGGGCTGTAAGACTAAGAGTCTGCTTTAATTTTCTCAGTGAGGTCGCTTGCTAAGACAGATCAGAGGAGGGATTGCTGAAGAACTCCCCAAGATCACCTACATGAGGAGCCACAGAGGGCCTCTGAGATACAGCAGGCCCTCATTACACCATTGCTCCCCTGGTGTAGCTCTCTCTGTATGACGGACACTTATTTACATTAACTCATTTAATCCACACATCAACCCTATGAAGTAGTATTATTATCTCCCCATTTGACACATGAGGGAACCAAGATGCTGAGAAGGCACCTCTGGGGCCACGAGTCTCTCCTTTCCCCAACTTCATCATCTGGGTTTTACCTCTTCAGTGCATTCCTCCCTCCCTCACCCCCCTGCCCCTCTACTGCCCAACTCAGGGCAACCATCATTTTTCAAGGACCTGCTCTGAGATCACTTCTCTCCCTGAAGCTCTGGGAGAAAGAGAAAACACTTAAAGGTAGACTGACCCTTTTAAAAGGCTCAGAGAGGAACTTCACGAACCCTGAGGGCCCCCAGTGACTCCAGCCTCCTGGCCTAAGAAGGATCAGGAACCTCATCTGGGGTCCTCTATCTTAGCAGCACACCCCATGTGATTATTTGCTTCACTGTCTGCCTGGATCTTAGACTGTAGCTCCTTGGGAGATAGGATGTGCCTGACTCCTCCATGCTGCAAGGCCCAGTTCCATGCATATTTGCTGAGTGAACCTGGTATCCCCAACACCTTGTCCTAAGCTCCCTCCCCAGGACGTTGCATGGAGAGGGCACCACCTGCGATCTTGGGACCCAGATCTGGCCCTGAGAGTCTGCTGTGGGACTTACCGCTGGCCCTGGAGGGTGATGGAGTCCACCTGGCGGCCTCCAGGCAGCGCCATCATGTTGATCCCAATCTGCAGCAACGCCTGCCCACAGCGGTCGGGACCCTGGAAAGAGAAGGGAGGATGGGGTCAAAAATATAGGATGCCCCAAGAGAGGAGACCCAATCACTTTCTCTCCCAGATCCTGGCCACAAGGAGTCAAGGCAGTTGTGGAGGAAAAAACTCCTAACCCTCCTCTGCTTTTTGAACCATGTAATGCTCTGCTGTCCTCACTCAAGTACTACAAGGCTTTGATATTGGTTCTAAGTTCCTAGCCCACTATGCACTTCTGCAATCTTCTATCCCATTGCCAAATATGTGCCTGACCCATTTTGCTTTGTACCAAATATTGGACCACAGGGACCAGCAAGCATAACAAGAGGAAAACGTATACTTAGGTCTATGGTTTATCTGAAATTCACATTTAACTGGGCATCCTATATTTTTGCTAAATCTGGCAACTCTACATGCTAATTCCCTAACTGTATACCATCACAGCACTGGGTTATTCACTTTGATTATGCATGGAAAATGTGACTCTGTAATGGGCATGGTGGTTGCTTCCCAAAATCCATTCCACTTCAGATGATGTAATTTCACCCAGACTGCCAGTAATTGGTTCAGAGTGCTTCTAGGAAAAATGTTCTCCTAACTACAAACTGGATTTCTCCCATCGACTCTGAACAAGGAAAGAATATCATTCCATTGCTGCTAGAAACCATCTTGCAATCAAGCTGGAGAACCATCTAGCTGGAGAAGGAAGATCCTTGATCCCTGTACCCCTGAATAATTGAACCTGGAGTTGGGCCCACCTCTAGGCTTCCTGTTATGTAAGATAATGAAGTTGTTGTGTAAGTGAGGATCTGGGTTCTCTGCAGACAAAAGCAGGCCGACTGATAAAGGGGAACCAGTCCCAGGGGCTCCAGTCCCAGCACTGAGGACCCACTTGGCTTGCCTGTGCTTCACAGGTTGGATCGAGACAATAGCATCCTTCTTCCCCCATAAAACAAGCTGCCCACCCCTCTGTCTCCTCCTGCCTTGCCTTGTGCCTTCCCCAATCCTCCCTCTCTGCCAGCTCCTTCTCTGAGCCAATAAAGAAGCCCCTCCTGTGGGAAATGGAGAGTCTATCACTGTTGCCTGGGCAAAGTAGTAAAAGAAAGGGATGGCTGTCCCCTGACATGCCCTGTTTTGAGGACAGCAGATTCCAAGACGTTCAGAAAAAAAAAGAAAAAAAAAAAAAAGAAAAAAAAACAAGAATGAACTGGTGGAAAGATACAGCGGGGATGGGCAAGCCTTATAAGCCCAGAAAAATTAAACTCGTACTCTGTGGTTACAGTGACCCTTATGAGAAAAGAACAGAGGAGGACTTTAATTAATAGTGATGTGGCTGGACATAAAGTACCCCTTATGGTGCTTGTAATAAAGAATGCATGTGTCCATCGAAAAAGTATGGGGAGGCAGGGACCCAGAATAAACTAAGGCTTTGGTTAATTCCAGGGACTCACTGCCACTGTGGACCCCACTGGACTGTGAGCCCTTCAAGAGCAAGAACCCCTTGCAAGCACTCTATGTTGCCTATTGAAAGAAGGGGTGGAATGGATTTTTAATACCTTTATGTTGAGCCCTAATAGCTATTTCACAGAACTCTATAACAATGATGTGAGATAAAGTAACAGAGATGTGAGCTAAATAAGTAGAAGCTGTTATTATTATTGTGTCCTGGGAGTCTGCTATGTGCTCAGCCTCATGATCAGATAAAGGCGATGGGGGAAATGAGATGAAGTGTATGAAGCCTCTCGCGTGGGGACAATGTGCGTCACTGGTGTCAGCTTTGTTATTTCTACCATTACCATCGTTATTAAGAAAATGTATTTTGGGAACCCAGTGAGTCACTCGCCTGAAAAGTATGACACAAAAGAAAAAGTTAGAAATAACAAAATTCCCCTTGTGATGTGTCTGACTAAATCAGAAAGTAATACCAATTTCTCCAAAAGTTAGGATGTGTTCAGAGTTATGAACAAGCAGGCCTTCATTTATCACCATTGTCACGGAGAAGGAAAGGGGGGCAGAGAAAAACCACTGAAGAGGGAATTAAAGCTCAGAGCAGCTGAGGAGACAGAGACAATAAGGAAGTTTGAGGTGCTTTAAGCTGTGAACCAATCAGTCCCAGGCCGACATCACGGTTTGATGCCCAGGTTGCTTGCTTGATCCCCTTTAGAGGACATGCAGGAGGCAACATCAATTATTCTCCCATTATTGATGTTTCTATCTCTCTCTCTCTTTTCTCTCCCTCTCTTTTTCTCTGAAATCAATAAAAATATATATATTTTTTAAATATAAAAATAAATAAGTATGAACCAGCCAGGATTCTGTAACTAGGTGAAGCACACCCTAGAATATTGAAGGAATCTGTGGATTTGATCGAGTCATATCTGAGGGACCCAGAGGGAGAGCTGTTGGGCATAGAAGCCTGGATGTTCTGAATTTCTAAGAGGCGGATTCCAGGAACATAGCTTGCAAGGCATAAAATTCTAGAACAGATTCCTAATCAGTGATGGAGGGCCTTTTGGACAAAAGCAATGAACACAAGTCATGCCCCCCAAATCTACACCCTTTTCATTAGGGACATTAAGCTCTTAGCTGAGGGGAATGCACTAAATCTAAAATAGGTTTGTTTTGTCAAAGCACCCTGGTGAGATGTCTTTGCTCATTCATTTCATCCATAGTCTTCCAGCAATTATGCTGGTGGAGGCTGCCCGCTAACAAATCCTGGGGAGGCCTCTTGGGCACATCTGGACTATATATAAATCACTGGCCTTCGCAGACTACATTATTGATGTAGTCTCCTTTCCCCAATGGGACAAGATTCCTTGATGTCTGAAACTACCTCTTGCTCAATGTGAGACTAGGCACAGGACCCTATACAATGAACTGATCAGTCAATCTGCGCTTATGAGTCCGATGAACTCTCAGAGGAGCTACACTATGAACTCTCAGAGGAGGTACACTATGCATTCACTGGGAATAAGAAACAGGTTAGAGAGAAATCTATAAGGTGACAGAGGGAATATCAAAGACTTTAACCCAGCTGATGTTTATAAAGTACCTCTATGATAAAAACAATAGGTAATATTTGTTGACTAGGTACTATGTGCCCAGCCCTGTTCTAAATGTTTCATATAGTGTTAACTCATTTGATATTATCGTCATCCCTTTGTTATGGATGAGGCCTCTGAAATTCAGTGGAATTATGTCCATTGCCCAAGATCACACAGCTAGTAACAGAAGACTAGTATCCAAGTTTTATGATTGCAGATGATGATAGAGCAATGAACAGGTGACATGTGTTCAGCATTTGATAACAAGCAACCCGACTGCATTCCATGGTGATGAAACCCAGCCCCAACCCTTCATAGTCAAGGCCTGAAGGGGAGGGCAGTTGATAACAGGCAGCCTGACTAGCAAGAGAGGGCAGTTAGGGATGACCAGGGCAGCAGCAGAGGGCAGTTGAGGGAAATCAGGCCTGCAAGAGAGGATAGTTGGAGGCAACCAGGCCTGCAGGGGAGGGCAGTTCGGAGGCACCAAGCCTGAAGGGAAGGGCAGTTAGGGGAGACCAGGCTGGCAAGGAAGGGCAGTTAGGGATGACCAGGCCAGCAGGGGAGGGCAGTTGGGGGTGACCAGGCTGGCAGGGGAGGGCAGTTAGGGTTGACTTGGCTGGCAGGGGAGGACAATCAGGTGTGACTAGACTGGCAGGGGAGTGGTTAGGGCATTATCAGGCTGGCAAGCAGAAGTGGTTAGGGGCAATCAGGCAGGCAGGAAGGCAGACGAATGGTTGGGAGCCATCAGTCCTGAATTGTGAGAGGGATGTCCCAGATTGGAGAGGGTGCAGGCTGGGCTGAAGGACACCCCTCATCATGCATGAATCTTGTGCACTGGGCCTCTAGTATATCATATAATATCATATCAATCAGGTGCTTGATACATGGTAGCTTCAAAGAAGGAGTGTCCTTCCTCATGGCAGTAGAAGTTGAGACACATATCTCAAGGCAGCGATGCTATCTTGCCCACAAAAGAGATGAGGACACATATCCGAGTGAGCAGGAAAGAGGAAAATCCATCACCCCTACTCCACCTCAAAGACCTCCCTAACTCATTGAAAATCTCACCCTGGAACTGCAACCTTGGTTCTATGCCTCCTTCACTAGGAGGGGCTGGTTTGCAAAAAAAAGACTTGAAGCCTTAAAGTTCACTGATTTGGTTCAACGCCTGCTGGGACAGCCACACATTTGGACAGCTCATTTCTCTCATGCATTCAATTAGAGGTAGCGCTTGCTCACCTCCATTTGGCTAACGAGCCAGTCTGGGCTCTGGAGGAAAGAGCCTGTTTACAGTAAATTACTCAATTAGAACCGGGAGAAAGGGAGGTTTTTGCTGTTGTCTAATGGGCCAATCCGAGTACAGCTCACGGCAAGGCGAAATTGTTTAATCTGCAGAAGCCATTATGGCTGTCAAAGGGGGCAGGATGGTAAACATTGGGGAAAACAGTTAAGCTCCAGCGGAAATGCTAGGTAGGAGGCAGGGGTGGAGATAAGAGAGGAATGAGACTTGGGGATGCAGTCAGGTCCCTCATTATATGACCCCTTACCCCTCTTTATTTCTCACCCCGTAGAAGCCATCACAATTGTATTTAAACATTTCTCTCTGAAATTAGGAGCTTTACATCTTTCTTCATTGATGGTCCCAGGGGCATGGACTAGAGGTCTGTCCTGCTCACTACTGTATCCCCAGGCCCACCTTCCTGATGCAGTGCCTTGTGCATAACAATCAAATCAAATGAACATTTGCTGACTGACCAGGCAGCTTCTTGTTGAAGGAACTTCAGTTTCCTCACTGGCAATGGGATATGAAAGTACCTATCTCAGCATGTGTTATGAGAACTCAGTGAGACAATTGTGGGTCTTTTGTAACTATACATGTGCCTGGAAAGGGCATCCTAATATCCATCGAGACAGAGCCTCCTGTCCCTGCTGAGTTCTCATAGTCTGCACTGTCTGTGGTACCCAGCT